AATTGAACCAGTTCTAAACGTGTCATATCATCCAAATACATTTTGTCAATCCGAGGTAATAAATCATTTATAAGAATATATTTATGAATATTAATGATCACAAATAAAGCTCTATTGTGAATTGTTATCGTTGACAATTTTGTTTTTGTTTTGTAGTGATGATCACCATTATTTTTTGCTACTTATATGTTTTTGAAAAAATATCAATGGGGTTTTTCTTGATTAATTAAATGTATGAATTCGGGTTTACCCAGAGATGATGTGTATGCTGAAAAAAGATTTGCTATAAGAGTATTCAAACGCGTATGTTACTTGGTAAAGATCTATTTGGTGCACTATTTGGGTAGCTAGCTACATTCATTTCTACTCCCTCCATTTACTCAAGGCGTTTCGTCTTGCTGTAACACTTCGTGAACAGAAGCAATTGACATGTCACTGTGTTTATATTTGGCTAGTTGGATGAATTTGGACAGGTTTGCGGATAACGTCATCGAAAAACTCCGAGACTTGTTTAAGCAAGGGTCAATTCAATACCCGGGGCTTAGTATGTGTATCGAACGAAACGACATCCGGGACTTGGTATGGTTGAAACCCCCATCGCTTTGGCGAGATGACAGACATATTACGTCTCTTGCGTGCCACCTTCGTATGCACAAATTCAAACCGGTTAGTTTTTGAATATGATACGTCGTTGTTGATGTTTATTACGATTACGATTATTACATTCGCCCTTGGTTGAAGGAGGCTTAGCTTACCTTGTCGATCCTCTAGTCAAAAAGAGCTAAAGAAGATTAGATTCCTTCAGTTCAAACGTGCAATTAGTTAATTGAAATACATATCACTATAAATATAAGCAATCGAGATTGATGTAATCATCAAATCACACTCTTTCCATTTGTTTGTAGCAATTACTAAATGCTATAATTCATATTGAAGCTTTCATTAAATGCTATGCAAGCTCCTTTTGGGGATCATTTTTATCTTCAGCATCTAAATGTATATTTATTTCAGCTATATTCAGAGCGTGGCAACTGACAATAAAATATCATTTTGCAATATGAACTACATTTCTAATTTTATACTTTAGAGGATAACGATTATAATGTACTCAATGTGCAGTGCAGTGTTGGATTGATTTTCGTCGCCATTTTGTTTCTCTTAGTAAGGAAGTCAATACAGTTACTTTCAACAAACGACTCACACATACAGACATGATTCTGATTAATAGTCGGCTACTACAGTACTTAGACAGTAAAAATAGCACTTATGAAAATGATGTTACAGGGTGGCTCATAGAAGACTTCTCGATTTGATTGTATCCGTCGTACATTCCCCTCCAGAAGTTAAGCAACCTGAAATCCACTTTTTGATCACTAATTAAAACCTGTTCATGTTTTGCGATTAGAAATATTCATATTTGTCATAAAATTATGGACTACTGTTATCGTGGAACAAAATTATGATACTATTTCTCAAATTGCCAAACTTATGACAGGGAGTGTACCTTCGAGGTATTCGAAGTCTCCAAAAATGAAAAACGTACGATTAGTGAAGTATGCATTTCCAAAAATATACATCACTTATGAAATCACCAAAAATATGTAAAGCAATGAAGAACAATTTTAGAAATATATTATTAACAATTAATTGAGGAAAAACATCCGTTCAATAAGCATGTTTTACATTATTCCACAATTTCTATCCTCTCTTCATTTCATTAAAGATTTAAACCGTCCTATACTCTATATCACAAGATTTGATATCTGAAAGATATACATCGGACAGGATAGATTATTTACCTATTGTGGTAATGACCGTTGTTGAGAAAACGACAGATTGTGGGTATGTCCAGACGTATGACGGCCCACCTTCTAAGCCAAGTTTTTCACATTCTTTACCATCGTAACCAATCGCCATGACTTTTCGCCTGAATGTATTCAATGTCCTATCGAACTGTCCTAACTTTCGCTCATCGTTATAACGTTCATTTTTAATTTTGACGATGCGTTGTAGAGTCACATTGTGCAGTTCGACGTATTCCTTTCGCTGTTTTTGACATTCTTCATGTTCATTATGTTGTTCCAAGTGTTCAAATACAAAGCCCCCGATAAGTAAATAAACCACGACCAAAATGCACGAGCCAACATTGGAAAAGATAAATTTAAGAAACCTTTTACAATTGAAAACTTTCCCAAAACTTGCAAACTTTTTCTTTATTTCTTGCGAACGTTCTCTTAAAGCTTCCATTTTAGTATGCGCAATAAAAATCCTACAATCTTCTAATAACCATCATATACTGAACATTATATATACATTAGTATAGAAAAGTAATTTTGTTTAGTTTATATATAATTTGAAATCTCTAATTGTCTATCTTGTGAAAACTATGACCGAGCTTCTCCTCTTTTGTATATGTCTCTATTTTGTAAATATTTTTAATAACTAATGGTGTAGCTTTTACGAGCGTGTACAAAAGGCATTAAGCACAATGTTATAGTATGAACAAAAATGAGACATTAATTAATTAATATATGCCTGCAATTATCTAATAGTCACGATGCGTTTTTATTAGAAGTCGCAATTTTTCTACGATGGCTCACTTCTATAAAACAAATCATTCGCGTCAGAGGACATCTTTGATTTTAAGAAATCGAAATCGTAACATTTAAGTTATCTTCAAGAACTACCGTAGATGTAGTTAAATCAGAAATGACATTACAGACTAGAGAACACATACTATCAACGTATACTAATAAATAGTATCGGTTTTCAAACCATCTATTAATATCAGCGTGTCGAACGGGAGCTTCGATCATATGCACATCAATGATAAAACTGATTAATGCGAAAAATATTTCCATACCCAGAGGGAAATGAAATACCCCGAGGGAAATAAAAATGAAAGTGTCAGTCTGAATTAAATATTACAAAATGTAGTGAAACTCAAACTCAGATTGAATTCTAAAATGAACGAGATATATGGTTTTAACAGGTAAACAATTGGCCCTTGGGCGTATAAAGTTCTCTTTTACATGGTACTTGGCGATCGCCCACACAATATCAAACGCTGGCTGCAGATCTAGGCTGCATAGTATAGACACGAAAAATCTGCAATTTATAGAAAACGATCATCCGTGGTCAGATACATATCATAAAAAGGGAGAAGTGTAACGACGGTGATGAATTATTGGTTTCGATGATATGTTTACGATGTTAGTAAAGCCTTAGTGGATATAATCGTTGCTTAGCAACTTGAGATGCTAAAGGATAGCTTTATGATCAGGTATTCAGCTTTGTTGAGTAAATTAATATCCGCAATAACTGGACTGAAAATTGATGGAAAAATAATTCTTCTTGTGATCTAGACTAACAGTAGAACTGATAGGCACGTGTAATCTAAAATCCAATATTCTTTGTTTGATATAACAACACATAATACAATGCGATAAATCATATCATGATCGTCGACCAATATCAACAATATACTGCGATAAAATATGATTGCTCGTTTAATTTCCAAATGATCGTTATGGATTTCTACCTTTCCAATGATCCGGTTTCGATCCACTTTTATAAGAATAAAGAAATAAAACCATGTTCGACCTTTCTTCACCCCACTTCATTAACGAATTGCTACAATGTCCAGCGTTAAAATATACCCCTGCTCAATCTGAATCCTCCAATCATCTCCTAGCATTTGTGAAAAGATACACCCATGAGGATGCACTCCATACGTGTTAAAGTATTACTTACAATTCTTTGATCTCAGACTATAACAATTCATGCTTTCCTTGCAATTTGCGTGTGATTACATGAATATTTTCTCCAAAGCGTTGCTACTAAAAAGGTATTTGCCTGATTTATATTCACGGGGAAACACATGATTAACCTTTTTGTACCCGCGGATATAGAAAGTTTCATTGAGCCAACTAAGATAAAAAAAGGTAGGAAAGAGAGGTATTCGAAGGTTTGTCTTTTAAACAATATCAATTCTTCACAAGGAATCGAGTGAATTCAGAAAAAATGATCAGACGGTATGTCAATATTAAAAGATATAGGAATGGGTTAAACTAGAAGAAGCATAATATTACTTGATCAGCACAATGGTTTGGTTTGGTAATTAACACTTAGTGCATCCCCTTTAAAATGATACAAGAGCACAGATTAGGCAACCACAACATTTATCATTGGAAAGCAAAACGACGCAATATCTATTTTATCTCGATATAAAATTAACAACGGCACTATGATTAAAACTACTTATCCCAAAAAGGAAACGGAAGAAGTGTCCAGAACAAAGGAAAATACAATTAATAACTTCGATTTATTAACTGATGCAAAAACATTAGCCTCATATTCCATCGATCTTCGCTGTTTTTTTAATTTAAAGCAATATTTGAATATATTATGCCGTTGGAAACTGCTAGAAAAAACTAGGTTATGTTTTCTAAAAGGCAAACGAAAGGGCTTTCTTTGAGAGGAAAATAGGTAACAGTTTCACTCATTTCTTCTTCATTTCTGTTGATTATCATCAGATTTTCTGGTTGTTAAAATAAGACATTTCATGAATTCGACCAAGTTTTGATAATACTTAATGTCATAGCAAGACTGCTTTGTCAGAACGTCTCCTTATTGACGTTTACGTAAAGAAAACTGAACACCTCTTTTGAGGATTCATTTAATTGTATGCTTGAACATAATGTTATTATCGAACTATTCTCCCGGTGACACCCTTTTCTTGGTTATGTTAATCTATATACTGGGGATACATCACTTACTAAATTTAGTTTAACCTCTAAATTTAGGTTTGCGACTTCTTCAAACAAAAATGCACACCAGATTGCTTCAACATCCTACAAATGAAAACTCATTATACTTATTATTATAGGTAGTAATAGTAAACACCATTTCCTACTATCTATATTTACCATTGTGTCAATATTTCCCGGTATTCGCTTACTGGTTATATTTGGATGATTATGCTTAATAAACAAGACCTACCTATTGTAGTTATAACAGTGACTGAGAATAAAAGGGCCCCAGCATAAGACCACTGAAATGACGGACCACCCGTTTCACCCATAGTATCACAATCTTTCCCATCATAACCAATCTCCAAAACATTCTGACGGAAAGTTCTCAACGTTTTGTTGAATTCTTCCTCGGTTTTCGAGACAGCTAATGTACTGGAGAGGATCTCCATTAACCTTATTAATGTTTCGTTCTCTTTTGGGTTGTACTGATCCCTTGCCTTGACACATTCTGTCCATTCATTATGTTTCTCTAAATGCTCAAATATAAAGCCACCGGCGATAGAGTAAGCCACGACCATACCACAAAGCCCAATATGGGAGAACAAAAACTTTAGAACTTTCTTGCATGTTTGTCCAACTGATCTTTTCTTCTTTTCGGTTTCCTCAACATCTGCCATTATTTCAGGTATGTATTGTCTTTGAGTTTCTGCTTATTCTACCCCCTGAGAGTTGTTGAAACCAGTTGACGACTATTGATTCACTAATGTTATAGTCTTAATCACATGCTAATTATCACACCACTGACTCGCGTTAATCCATTCCAAGTACCCTTAAGTTTCTCCCAATGAAATCTGTATGCAATAATAATCAGTGATACCACTGTAGTGCTGGCTACTTTATATCCTAACTCAACTATATTTTCAAATGTTTCCTCAGAACATCGTCTAGATAAAGCATATGCATCAGTTCTTCCTTTATCTGCATCTTTAGCGCGTTTTATTGAAGGCTGGACTCCGGTTAAGCTCAACGACTTAACCACGGATCAATGGCATGGATCAATGGAGGTTACCTGTATACCCTTTGTTCGTCTTAAACAACAATATCGACCGACCCAACAACCATGAAAACCTCAATCCAAAGCGCTTAATAAATGGTTAATATTGCCAGGTTATTGATCCTAATCTGTTGCACTCTATTTCTTATATAACGTATGTCCACTGAGAGGTTACTGTAATCGTGTCAGCTGAAATTAAGGTAGTTGTTGAAGGGAGGAGGCTTGGGGATTATCGTTGAAATTTTGATTCAATTAAGAGTAATATCATGATCACGTTTATCTAAGAGAGACGTTGAAGCAAATGTTTGTCATTGGAATTTTGATTCAATAAAGAACAATATCATGATCACATTTATCTAAGAGAGACGTTGAAGGAAATGTTTGTAATTGGAATTTTGATTCAATTAAGAATAATATCATGATCACGTTTATCTAAGAGAGACGTTGAAGCAAATTTTTGTCATTGGAATTTTGATTCAATTAAGACCAATATCATGATCACGTTTATCTAAGAGAGTTGTTGAAGGAAAAGTTTGTAATTGGAATTTGATTCAATTAAGAATAATATTGTGATCACGTTTATCTAAGAGAGACGTTGAAGGAAATGTTTGTAATTGGAATTTTGATTCAATTAAGAATAATATCATGATCACGTTTATCTAAGAGAGTTGTTGAAGAAAATGTTTGTCATTGGAATTTTGATCCAATTAAGAATAATATTGTGATCACGTTTATCTAAGAGAGACGTTGAAGGAAATGTTTGTAATTGGAATTTTGATTCAATTAAGAATAATATCATGATCACGTTTATCTAAGAGAGTTGTTGAAGGAAATGTTTGTAATTGGAATTTTGATTCGATTAAGAATAATATCATGATCAAGTTTATCTAAGAGAGACGTTGAAGAAAATGTTTGTAATTGGAATTTTGATTCGATTAAGAATAATATCATGATCACGTTTATCTAAGAGAGACGTTAAAGGAAATGTTTGTAATTGGAATTTTGATTCGATTAAGAATAATATCATGATCACGTTAATCTAAGAGAGACGTTGAAGGAAATGTTTGTAATTGGAATTTTGATTCGATTAAGAATAATATCATGATCAAGATTATCTAAGAGAGACGTTGAAGAAAATGTTTGTAATTGGAATTTTGATTCGATTAAGAATAATATCATGATCACGTTTATCTAAGAGAGACGTTGAAGGAAATGTTTGTCATTGGAATTTTGATTCAATTAAGAATAATATCATGATCACGTTTATCAAAGAGATCTGTTGAAGGAAATGTTTGTCATTGGAATTTTGATTCAATTAAGAATAATATTGTGATCACGTTTATCTAAGAGAGTTGTTGAAGGAAATGTTTGTAATTGGAATTTTGATTCGATTAAGAATAATATCATGATCAAGTTTATCTAAGAGAGACGTTGAAGAAAATGTTTGTCATTAAAGTTTTGATTCAATTAAGAATAATATTGTGATAACATTTATATAAAAGAGTTGTTGGAGGAAATGTTTGTAATTGGAATTTTGATTCAATTAAGAATAATATTGCGATCACTTCATTGGAATGTTGGAATAACATTGTGATCACGTTCATCCAAGATAGTTGTTGTAGGGGAGGTATGACCCTTAAATTATTTGCAATAATTTTATCAGAAATAATCAATTATCATATAATCTGCATGAAATTTCATCTCATCTTTAATTGATCCATTTCCTCTCAGGTAAAACAAACCAGATGTAAATCGCATGATAACTTTCTGTACTACCTTATATCAAAGAATATCACTATCACCAAAACATAAATTCAAATAGTATATTTTAACATGTAAACGTCATGAAAAACCTAATAAATACTGAAACCATCTGCAGAATAAAACAAGCTTCTCTGGTTGTAGAGTTGGGGTTCAAACGGATCCCCAAATCCTTCAAGTTTCGATTCGGCTAAGAATAAGATGGTTGTTGTAGGAGAGGTTTGTCATTGCCGTTTTGACTCAATTAAGAATAATATTTGATCCACTAAATCCACGGCAAATGTTGAAATAATTAAAATATTTCCACACCGACCTCAGAGAAAATATTTCCAGTGTTATAATCGATGATTTTATCGATTAAAAATAGTCTTGTGAATTCGTTCGATATCTGCTGAAATATGGTATGTATACTTGTGTTGATTGTTAATAATTACAAAATAGGTAGGGTAAAGAAAATGTCAAAGTCGTTTGTTCTTGTCCCAGAAGCAATATTTTGTTATTTCATCGCCCAGAATTTCATTAAGAATAATTTTGTGATCACTTCTATCCATGAGAGTTGTTGAAGGGGAGGTTTGTCATTGACGTGTTAAGTCAATTAAAAATAATATTGCGATCACGTTTATCTAAGAGAGTTGTTGAAGGAAATGTTTGTCATTGAAGTTTTGATTCAATTAAGAATAATATCATGATCACGTTTATCTAAGAGATCTGTTGAAGGAAATGTTTGTCATTGGAATTTTGATTCAATTAAGAATAATATTGTGATCACGTTTATCTAAGAGAGTTGTTGGAGGAAATGTTTGTCATTGGAATTTTGATTCAATTAAGAATAATATCATGATCACGTTTATCTAAGAGAGTTGTTGGAGGAAATGTTTGTCATTGGAATTTTGATTCAATTAAGAATAATATCATGATCACGTTTATCTAAGAGAGTTGTTGGAGGAAATGTTTGTCATTGGAATTTTGATTCAATTAAAAATAATATTGCGATCACGTTTATCTAAGAGAGTTGTTGAAGGAAATGTTTGTCATTGGAATTTTGATTCAATTAAAAACAATATCATGATCACGTTTATCTAAGAGATCTGTTGAAGAAAATGTTTGTTATTGGAATTTCGATTCAATTAAGAATAATATTGTGATCACGTTTATCTAAGAGAGTTGTTGAAGGAAATGTTTGTCATTGGAATTTTGATTCTTCAATTAAGAATAATATCATGATCAAGTTTATCTAAGAGAGTTGTTGAAGGAAATGTTTGTCATTGAAGTTTTGATTCAATTAAGAATAATATTGTGATCACGTTTATCTAAGAGATCTGTTGAAGGAAATGTTTGTTATTGGAATTTTGATTCAATTAAGAATAACATTGTGATCACGTTTGTCTAAGAGATTTGTTGAAGGAAATGTTTGTCATTGGAATTTTGATTCAATTAAGAATAATATCATGATCACGTTTATCGAATAGAGTTGTTGAAGGAAATGTTTTCTGATTGGAATTTTGATTCAATTAAGAATAATATCATGATCACGTTTATCTAAGAGAGTTGTTGAAGGAAATGTTTTGTAATTGGAATTGTGATTCAATTAAGAATAATATTGTGATCACGTTTATCTAAGAGAGTTGTTGAAGGAAATGTTTGTCATTGGAATTTTGATTCAATTAAGAATAATATCATGATCACGTTTATCTAAGAGAGTTGTTGAAGGAAATGTTTGTCATTGGAATTTTGATTCAATTAAGAATAATATTGTGATCACGTTTATCTAAGAGAGTTGTTGGAGGAAATGTTTGTCATTGGAATTTTGATTCAATTAAGAATAATATCATGATCACGTTTATCTAAGAGAGTTGTTGAAGGAAATGTTTGTCATTGGAATTTTGATTCAATTAAGAATAATATTGTGATCACGTTTATCTAAGAGAGTTGTTGGAGGAAATGTTTGTCATTGGAATTTTGATTCAATTAAGAATAATATCATGATCACGTTTATCTAAGAGATTTGTTGAAGGAAATGTTTGTCATTGGAATTTTGATTCAATTAAGAACAATATCATGATCACGTTTATCTAAGAGAGTTGTTGAAGAAAATGTTTGTCCTTGGAATTTTGATTCAATTAAGAATAATATCATGATCACGTTTATCTAAGAGAGTTGTTGAAGGAAATGTAAGTCATTGGAATTTTGATTCAATTAAGAACAATATCATGATCACGTTTATCTAAGAGAGTTGTTGAAGGAAATATTTGTCATTGGAATTTTGATTCAATTAAGAATAATATCATGATCACGTTTATCGAATAGAGTTGTTGAAGGAAATGTTTGTCATTGGAATTTTGATTCAATTAAGAATAATATTGTGATCACGTTTATCTAAGAGATCTGTTGAAGGAAATGTTTGTCATTGAAGTTTTGATTCAATTAAAAATAATATTGCGATCACTTCATTGGAATGTTGATTCAATTAAGAATAACATTGTGATCACGTTTATCCAAGATAGTTGTTTTAGGGGAGGTATGACCCTAAAATTATTTGCAATAATTTTATCAGAAATAATCAATAATCATATAATCTGTATGAAATTTCATGTAATCTTTAATTGATCCATTTCCTCTCAGGTAAAACAAACCAGATGTAAATCGCATGATAACTCTCTGTACTACCTTAGATCAAAGAATATCACAATCACCAAAACATTAATTCAAATAGTATATTGTAACATGTAAACGTCATGAAAAACCTAATAAATACTGAAACCATCTGCAGAATAAAAAAAACTTCTCTGGTTGCAGAGTTGGGGTTCAAACGGATCCAAAAATCCTTCAAGTTTTGATTCAGCTAAGAATAAGATGGTTGTTGTAGGGGATGTTTGTCATTGACGTTTTGACTCAATAAAGAATAATATTTTAATCACGTTTTGATCCACTAAATCCACGGCAAAAGTTGAAATAATTAAAATATTTCCACACCGACCTCAGAGAAAATATTTTCGGTGTTATATATAATCGATGATTTTATTAATTTAAAATAGTCTGATATATTGTATGTATACTTGATTGTTAAATTACAAAATACCTGTAGGTAGGGTAAGGAAAATGTCAAAGTCGTTTGTTCTTGCCCCAGAAGCAATATTTTGTTATTTTCATCGCCCAGAATTTCATTAAGAATAATTTTGTGATCACTTTTATCCATGAGAGTTGTTGAAGGGGAGGTTTGTCATTGACGTGTTAA